GGGGGGGGGGTGAAAGTTCGAGATTTTGATTTGCAGATTTTGCAAGGTGAATATACAGTAGAAAACATTGCAACAAAATTAGGACAAAAGTATTAGACATTAGAAGGATTTCACCGTCCATTATTAAGGCATGAGTTGTTAAAAATACAATATATTTAATAAACATACATTTTACAGGACATCTATTTAAATAACTATTGTGTTATAACACAAAATCATAAAACAGCGCACTCTGACAAACACCCGGACTCTTTTCTTTTCACTCCGGCATTGCGAACTTCCGAATTTGAGTCTGAACAGCGGGTCTCGGTCTGAACAGCCTTTGAGCCTCTTACTTCCCGATCGACTTTGTCAGTTGATGTGGGTGGGACGACGGTGATACGGTGATGGCTAAACCCCACCAAAGGCTATTCAAGATAACCAAGTGATTGTGCGATTCCCGAATCAATATGCAGGATGTGCGCAGTAGATCCCGGCTTATTGGTAGGTCAAGAAAATGCTATGCAGATTGCTCGCTGCAGCTCCTCAGGGACGGCGATCTTGTTGAACCCCAGGACTTGTGGTCCTGAGTGTGCACCTGACCAAACAAATACCCAACAAGATTCCGTGTTTAAGAGAGGTTTGCCAGGCAAACTATGAAACGCCACGCTAAGGCACTAGGCTGTTAGGCATGGCCAAGGTGTCATGAGCTTGGCCCATCCAGTTCTGACTGCTTCCGCACAGTCACTGCTTTGCCGCAAGCCTGGCACCTTCCAACCAGCCGAACAATTTGATACACCCTTTCTGCTCAAGGCTTGAATCATAGCTCAGAGCCAAGGCTAGTCCAAGCGTGGTCGGGGCTGGTCCTCAACATCTCAAGCAGATTGGCAGCACCGTTTGACATTCAGGAGCAAGGACGCCACCAGGGGCTCCTGGCCATACTACTAGTAACAAGAAGCTACAGGGGCTTGGCATCGCTACCAGGAGCAAGGTACCCGATGAGTCAAGTTGCCTCTCGCTGCAACTCAGCAGGCCCTCCACAGTCACTTTGCAACTTGCAGCGCCCTGTCGCAACCTGACACCCAGAGGCTAAGCAGAGCATTGAGCAAGAGTTGTCATCCCAAAGGTACACGGCCGATGCCTCTTTGAATGGGAGGTCACCACCACATGCTTTGAAGGGCAGATGCACGCTCCCCCCTCAACAGAACTCAGGGACAAATTATCGACGTGCCCTTCTCTCAACAGTCGGCAAAAGGTGGTGCAGGGCATAAGTGATCTATCATGATGTTGATGCGAGTTTTTTGTGGGCGCGGCTGCGTACTTGTGTCCTGATCCTTTTGACAAAGAAGTTGGTTGTGCCATAGTAATGACAAAGAACAAATCAGTCTGCCATTGTGGCTTGTCAAGCTGGAACTATATACCACTCGTTCTCAAAGGCTCACTTCTCAAGTCTGCCGCATCATGGCGAGGCTGGCATCGCTGAGTGATGAGCAGGCTCAGAAGTGAGAAGCTGGTCTTGATGAGGCTCACATGGACGCAGGTATGATTTTGCTGAAGGTGTGGTGTCAATTCTTGAGTGTGTGTGTGTGAGAGTCTCTTTGCATTTGTCCGTTTCACCTGACATGTGCCGTTGGATGGATGCAGGCAACAAATCCTGAAAAGTTCGAACAACCCTAGCGTGCCAAGGTAAGTTTTGCATCGGGGCTGTGAGGTTTTGCGGTGATTCAAACTGACAAATGGTGCCCTGACATGTGACAAGGGAGTATTTGCTTGGTGTTCACCGTGATGGTTGGCTTTCCTGATATAGAGGATCATCAAGACAGTCAGAGTGTCAAATCCACAAGCAAGTTCTTGTTGAACTGAGAACCGAAGGCATTTGCGCATCTGGCAATTTGTTGGAAGCAGCGAGTGCCACGAACATGAAATGACATGTTTATGATGACGTGACATCGGCACCCCATTGGGTATTTGGCTCGGATTCTGCAACATATGTCTTTTCTATTTGCTTGCTGCCCTCAAGTTTCTTCGTTCAAAACTCCGGAATTTCAGAGACAACTTTCACATGTTTGATATATGAATGAACGCCCCCGGAAGTTAAGACGACCAAGTGCGTACCATTTTTGCTCGTAGAGTTTGGCTCAAAAGGGAATGGGCCCCTGTCGGGATTGTCAACTCCTTTGCGCCGGGGAGTCAGACGATCTCTGTCAGTTTTGAGGAATCGCTTTTGGCTTGTCCTTGGCGAGTTGCCTGTGAGCTTCAGGGGGTTGGCCGTGGACACCGTTCGCATTTGGACAGGTGTGTTGCAAGAGGAGGCAGATAGACACACCGAACTGCTTCACAAGAAGAAGGTGGACGAGACTACTACCACTAAGGCCCGGAGTCCAGCTTCAACTTCTGCTCCTTGCACGGGGAGCCAAGTCGAGGAAGAGCCCGAGGACAAGCCTGACAAGAGGTGGATATCCCCTAAGCGGGAGTCAGAGAGGGAGCGGAGCAGCAAGCGGTCTTTGGAGGAGGTGAGGGAAAGATTTCAAGCGGCTCTAAGCAGAAGGTCAGGGGAGATCACAAAGCTTCAGGAAGGAGCAGGAGTCGGAGGAGCGAGAGCAGGCATCGCAAGCGAAAGCGTCATAGCGCATCAAGGTCAAGGAGGAGAAGAAAGCATACTTCACCAGACAAAACATCCGAAGAAAACAAAATTATCGAGCCAGAGCCCGAGATAAAGGAAAGGAAAGCAAAGCCGTCAGTCAGGCCTCGCAGGACACCATCGAGGTTTTCAGCGGGGAGGAACAGGATTCCACCTAGGCCTCCGCCGCTTGCACGTCCTGCAGGGGCAGCTTGGCAGGGACCTATCAAGGCTTGGAAGTTGAATCCCAGGTATTTCGGAGAAAACAAGGGGGTGAAGAAACGTGAGCGGCGCATTGCGGGTTCACAGGAGGACGAACAGTAAGTGAGGATCGGTTGCAATGCCACCGAGAGCCAGGCCGGCAGCAGATCTTAGACGGAGACCTCCTGCTCGGCGAGGGGAAGTGAGAAGGCGACCAGCTTGTCGTGAAGCAGGGGAAGAAGGTGTCAGGGGCACGACTTGCTGTTACAGGGTCGAAGTTTCAAGAAGGTGAAAAACGCCAAGAAGTCCCACTCGAGGTACTTAGAGGGCATGTACTGGGGGACTCACTGCATGGTAGCAGGCTTGGTCGAGAACTTCCATGTCCGGGCTCCCAAGCACGTGGAACTCCAGGTCAAGCCCCTTAAAATAAACCAACGAAGAGAACCTCCTACGGTGGGCCTGAGGGCACGCAGGCCAGAAGCTGCGCACTCAGACAGACGCACGCATACATTCACCCATGCATGCATACGTACATACATACAGTATGTTACATACATACACACACGCGCGCAGAATGCTTGCAGAAATGCGCCCGCACATACGTACATACAGACATACAGGCAGATAGACCGACAGACCGACAGACCGACCGACCGACCGACAGACGAACAGACACACATACATACAAACGCACATACATTACATAGATACTTACATCAATACATACGTACATACATACATGCATACATACATACGTACATCCGCACATACATACATATATACACACCTACATACAAACAAACAAACTTACATACATACATACATGCATACATACATACATACAAACATAAAATATACATGCATACATACATACATCATGCACGCACGCGCGCGTGCGATAACAGACAGACGGGCAGACTGACAGGCAGGCAGCCAGACCCCGTTGCGTCTTGGTGGAGCATCTTTCAGATTCATCTCTCGCTCAATTTCCCCAACGGCAAACGATTTGCTGGTGGTTGCAGCCACGCTGGCTAAGCGTACTCGGCTCCAGCTTTGGAACCTTTCCAGGCTGCGTATCCGCAGGTCTACCCCAACAGCTGGGTTGATGACCTTGGATATTCGACGCGGAACTCACCTCACCCGTCGAGCTTGCCCATCTTGCTGTTGATGCTTGGGGCGATCTCCGTGACGGACCCATTTGAAAGTGAATGTGGTCAAGATTCCCTTCATCCAAAGCCCTAAGGTGGGGCGCCCATGCGCAGCGTTGGTTATTGTCTGTAAGGTCTCTCCAAAACATTTTTCTTGATCGGAGCGCGCGAGAGGGTCACAGGCCCAGCGTCGCTAAAAGGAAAATGAGGAAGCTCAAGAGAAAACTTCAGGCGAAACCAAATGACGCGCCGCAAGTCGAGACGGACTTCTGAGGAAGCAAGGGAAAAACATATGTACACGCATGCGTACATACATACAAACAGACACATACATACATGCAAACATACATACGTACGTACATACATACATACATACCTACATACGTACGTGCCTACATACATACACACGTGCGCGCGCACATGCATACAGACAGGGCTCAAGCTGTGAGAGGTTCAAGCTGGTTCTGCAAGAAATGCAGCTCGTGCGGAACCCCTTGTTGCACCACGTGTGCCCTGAGAACCACGAGACACACGCCGCCGCTGTGGTGTCCCTGGGTGAGCGTTCTTTGCTAGTGATCTCACGAGGGCATCAAGAACGCTTCTGAAGACCTCTACGGCACCTGGCACTTGCTTGCTTGGACTTTCTGTCTGAGGACCTCCAGGGGACTGGGCCTACTTGTCAAACAACCCTCAGGCCAGAACGTGGTCGGTGCCCCACTCCACCTCCTACTGGACAGACAGGAACTTCAGGCCTACACCAGGTACTGTGAATGGGGAAGAGCGTGCGTGACCCGCTCCAAGCACGCCTGCAGCAACTGGATATGGTCAGATCGAGTGAAACCTGGTACGAAGTGCCGCAGGTGTGGAACTTGGTGGGCAACCCCACAAATCAGCAATGGTCTCCACCTGGTCTCGGCAAGTTCAAGCCTCTCAAACGAAGCAAAATGCGACAGGAGGCCACGGAACTGCTCTCCAACAGCTGGTCAGTCCTACCAGAGGACACACAAGCCAAGCTGCAAGCTCTCGGCATCGGTCCGAGCAAGCCAGAAGAACCCGAGCTGACAGACACCCTGAAAACCCACATGGACAGGTTCAACAGATCGTCGCCAAGCTCACGGCGCCAGAACCATGTACTGAGCGAGAAATTACCACAAAGCTCAAGGGCCAAGTGACTGAGTTGAAAACCCTATCCATCCGCAAGAATCAGCTTCAAGACAAAATTGATGGAGTCAAAGCCCAATATGCTTCACTCCTCACGGACATGCAGGACCTCCAAAGCAAACTTGCAGATGGACAGAAAGCCCTCCAACAGCTTTCCCACGACTACATGAAGGCAGTCAACCAGACTCCAGCACCAGCAGACCTCGCAGCACGCATGGGAGAACCTGAGCAAATCCCCATGGCGGTAGAGTCCTTTGTACACAGTCTGGGCATTTCGCTCACAGAGGAGCAGAAGAGCCAATTAGACGGACTTCTTCAGAGGCCCAATCAGGATCCTGATGACCGAAGCGCAGGAAAACGGATGGCTCTGTACCACCTTCACCAGGACATTGTGGGTAACACTCTCAGCCAAGCCACGTTGCAGGGGTGGAACTTTCCGCTACCTGAAGATGACAGTTGGTCATGTGATGGAACAGAAGAGTCAATCAGGGGTAATCAGTTTGAATTGAAAACAAATTTTGAAGACGAGCCACACTCTCCAGCAGCACTTTCTCAAACGGGTTAACATGCTGCCTCAGGCTCTTCAGGGGAAGCGACAATTGTCACTGGTGAAGGGGAAGACACGCAACAGACAATTGCCTTGACTCGCATTTTGGGAGCACCACAACCAGAATGGGTTGATCTTGCAGAATCTGAGTATGGTGGTGGGAAATCCCAGCTCGCAATGCTCCATGGCGCGCATTCTGCTGGATGTGCGCCTATTTAGCGGAGTTCAAACATCCCTGGAACTCTCCGAACCGGTAGACATCCAATGGCTACCTGGACTACACAACCTGTGGCAAAAGCACAACCTCAACATGGAAGGAGACGCAGCACACTTTGTGCATTCACTATGGATACACTCCCAAACAAGAGTGATGCAGTACCGTTACACGGAGATCAAAGAAGGGGGCTATATCACTCAAATGTACAATTGCCCCTCATCGTGGACTACCCGGACGAGTTCCTTGATGAGATCACCTGGCAAGAGCTACTGAATTGCTGGGCAAACCAAGGCCTGGGGCAATATCTCAGTGATGACAAGATGGTGCTGGTGAGCCACATCAACCGGGCGGTCACCATCGAAGGCACGGTTACCAAACACAAGAGAGCCCTCAATCCACCTGGACCTGGACCATATACGGTCCCACAATCCCTGGACGGTTTCTCCAGGGCCAGTGCCGAGTACATCCCCGTGGCATACATCTGCCACCGAGGACTTGATGTGGATAGAAGACGATGGAGCCACACCCAAAGTTCTGCCATTCCTGACGCCGCAAATAGCCGGCCAAATAGTTCAAGTATGGGGCATCCAGACCTCCGCCCTGGTCACACCAGGACAAACAGCTCGGGCTTTACCTCCGCCAGAGAGTCCAGATTTCGATCCACCACTTCACGGCGCACCACTCAAGAAGGCCAGATTCACCCAAGAGCGCATGAGGCTGAATGTGGCCAACATCACAGCTTTCGGCAAGAACACCCTCGACTGGTATTGGGCAAGAGACAATGAGATTTATGTGTTTGTCGAAACTCACCTCGATCAACAAAAGCATCACTCAATGTGCCAATACTTTGAAGTGCGAGGACGGCATGCTTTCGGATACCCAGCCCATTCCAACAGCAGCAATGAAGGCACCCATGGTGGCATCCTCATCATCCATGACACCGCCCATGGCCTCACCAAGCTCGAACATTTCGAGATTGAAGGATGTGGGTATCAGGCCTTTCTGTGGGAAGCCAAAGCACTGTCAAAGGTGGAGCTGGGTTGTTCCGGCGCTCCTCCAGAGATCGTCAGGCGTTGCCCATGAGAGGTGTCGCTGGCGCGGCGCTCAAGTGGTTGTGCTCGGGGGGCGGGGCTGTCGTGTTCGTGTGGCGTGCTTGGTCGTGTTGTTGCTGTTCCCCTGCAACAGTACATGGCCCCTTGGTGGCTGTAAGATAGCCAAAAGGAAGTGTCATCTCATTTGAAACATGTGTTTGTTCCCCAACACCTGTGTCATCTGAGCGCTCTCTGAGATCCATTCTCATCGTGGCGGTCTACTTCAAGACCAATGAGACGATTCAAGGGACCACCAACTCCCAGATCTTGGCCCGTATTTTGGCACTCCTCCAAGCCACGACGCAGCAATTCATCCTTGTCGGAGACTGGAACAACCGTCCTGAACACTTCCAAAGCACAGTGCTCAGCTCCAAGTTCCACTGGCAGATACTGGCGCCCGATCAATGGCAACGCAGTTGATTACGCCATCATGCACCAAACGATTGCTTCCTGTGCCTCCATGACAACTGAATGGGCGGTACCATGGCGACCTCACTGCCTGGTCACTTGTGCCCTAGAACTGGAAGACGACTTCAGGCATTACCGCCCCGGACTTTCCCACCGCTGCCTCATGTGCCAGACATTGGTTTCATCGCGCAGGTTGAAGACCTCACTCTCTACGAAAGCACACCCAACCAGAGTGCCAGAGGGTTAGCGGATTGGGTGTCCATCACCGAGCAGTATCTCCTGCAACAACATCCATGGGCACCACAAGGCAGAGCGTCCAATTTGACCACCCAATACCAGCCCTTGGTACCAGCCAAATCGGGTGGCATGTGGAAGAAAGGGAAAGCAGCCTACTGGGAACAAATTCAGGCCAGACTCAACCTCATCCAGAACCAGCCCAACAAAGCACCAGGGGCCATCAAAGGGCTTAACCAAGCTCTACAGCAAGTCCAGCACCACTTCCTGGACACACAACAGCACTGGCAACAATATCGTGATGAACGCACCTTCGAGCTGCTCCAACACACTGTGCAGCACCAACTTGAAGAAGCGCAACAACAAAACCGAGAGGAGTCCCACCTCCAATATGCGGAGTGGATCAGACAAGGAGAAGCCAAAAGACTCAAAGGACTCTTCCGCTCCTTGAAGGCGAGTGAGCTGTCCTGGCAACGACCATACAGGGACGTCCCCATGGCTGACCGCATGAGACACCGGATGAATGCGTGGCATGCACTATGGAAGCCAACCAAGGACAACCAGGTCATGACGAGACTCCCTCTACAAGATGCCGCCAAACAGCAAGCAGCCCAATTGCCACCGCTGACATATGAACAGCTTGGGAAAACCCTGAAAAAACTCCCAGACAAAGCATGTGGACCGGATGCAATTACCACCCAATTGCTCCGCACAGCGCCCAAGCAAGCACTCCAACCTCTCCTCGGCATCCTCCAAGAAATGGAGACAAAGGCTGAACTACCAACCCAGCTCACTATGAGCCTGGTAGTCATGCTTGCAAAGAACGAAAAAGTCGAACGGCCAATTACCCTCACCAGCGTACTGTACAGAGTTTGGTGCCAGATGAGGAAGCCAATCCTGGATGCATGGCAACAGCGACTTCCACCCTCCATTGACTATGATAGAGCTTGGCCAGGAGCTACCGCGCTCCATGTAGCTCTTGAACGCCTACTCCGCCAAGAGACCCAAATCCCTGGACAAACATGGAATCACAGTACTGCTGGACATGAATACCCACCCTTGGCACTGGAGTTTGCAATGCAAGTCTACGCAGGACGCAAGGCCATCCTAGCCGAAGGGGAACTCAGCCCATGGTTCCATGTCACAACCGGGGTAGCCCATCCTCACCCAATTCCAACAGGACAACCCAGACCTGCACCTCAATGGATGGGTGGATTTTGGGATTTGATGGCAGCCACACTGATGCACAGCATTTAGCCCAGCGAACACTACAGGCCTGGCACCAGCTTCGAGACGGGCTGATTGCGGCTGGGTTGGTTGTCAACAGCCACAAAACGGCCTTCATCGTCACAGATAAGATCATCCACAAGGAGCTGGCCAAACTCCTGAGTCCCAACGATCCACCAATCCAAACGGTGATGCCAGACTTGGGCATTGACCACTCAGCAGGCAGACGGCGGCGGATAGCTACACTGCAACAACGCTTCCGCAAACACAAACAACGGCGGATCAAGCTACGCAGTCTCAAGCTCCCCAATCTCCGCACCAGGATCCGCCTACATCGAGGAGGAGTCCAACCAGTGGCCTTTTGGGGCTTTGAAGGGCAAGGACTGGCGCCCCGGTTCAGGCTGGCACTCCGGCAGTCCCTGGTCCACTTAGGCCTTCACCAAGGTGGCCTCCAAGATGTCATTTACGACCAAGTCAGCATGAAATTTGGCGACCCAGGAGATCAGGTGGTGATCCAGCACATCAGGGCTCTGCATACCCTCATCACCCATTTTCCCGCAGACCCCCGCCAGCACATCGAGCAAGCCTGGATCACCCTCAGAAACCAGTTGCGCAAGCACCAACACCTCTGGTATCATGTGAAGGGCTATCTCAAGGAATGGGGATGGACCACGGACAATCTCTACCACTGGCACAGACACGAAACCGCCTTCGTGACTGAGGCCCACATCAACATGCACGATGACTGGGCGACCATTGAGCAAACCTTGCATCATGAGGCCCAACAACAGAGAACCAGCAGGTGACCAGCGATCCCAGGCGTGGATTTTCGCACTTTGTGTCCAGGGGACACTACTGAGGAAAGGAACCATAACGGGCATGGCGCCAGGTCGACAGACCAAAGCCCGGGCTTTGTTCCAAGGCCTCATCAGACTAGCCCAGCATGTTCTCACCCCGATCAACGTGATCGTACAGCTAGGCTCAGTTTGGGAAGCTTGGACTAATCCCAGCAAAAGGAAAGGCTTCGAAGACCTTCCCAAGGGCTTTGATGAGGACCTCCGCATCACACCTCTGTACATCCACAAGAACCAGAGGACCCCAGATGCACCAGGCAGCGAGCCCCACCTCAGGAGGAGGCAAAGGGATGCCGCCTGGGCCGCCTATGCAACAATCTTCGATCAGCGTGCAGAAGCCTGGCAAAGGACACTTGACCAAGACCACCTCCAGATCTACAAACATGCGGCAGCAAGGCTCGAGAAGATATACAAAGCTCCACAACACTACATCCATGAGAAACCAGTCCGCAGAGCAGGGCACAACACCAAGCAGTACAAGAAGCGGCTCATTAACCAGCGCAAGCTCCCGTGCAAGCCAGAGAAGCACCAGTGGGAACCTCACAGGAGCGGGTTTCAATGTCACACGTGCCATACAAGGGTGCACCAAGCCCTAACTGTTGAGGTCATAATCTCCAAGAAACGACCGGGTACCTAAGGTGCACCAAGTGTAGCCTCTCCATCCACAAAAGAACCAATGAAGAGAGCTTCCAAGCCTTCATCCGCAGCCGCTGCATTGATGAGTGCTACACAAAGCCCCATGCAGGACACACAACCCACTCCCTGTGGCAGAAAGGTAAAGGGATCAAGTGTCTCAACTGCGGGACCCAGAGCCACTTGGATGCAGAAGAGAGGCTGGTTCTGACCAAGACGCTCACGAAGGCATGCCAGGGTAACACCCAGAGATCGCCAACGCTGCTCCAGATCTTTGGAACCCAAGCTAAAAGCACACAAGCAGCCACCGACACCGCAACACAGGCGCCACCAACCACACCCAGAAGAGAGGCAGACGCTGCTGACATTATGTCACCACCAGCGCCAAAGAAGCTCCGCTTCACGGCCACCGGCACACCAGCGCCAGAGATGTCACCAGCCACCGCCCCAGAGGCACAGGCTGCGCAAGACTCACCAGAAGCTGCAGAAGAAGAACCCCTTGAACATGACTACACAGTGGACTTCTTTTGAGGGCAGCCGCGCACCATGAGGCCAAAGGCCGTAGTTCAGGCACCGCCAAAAGGGCACCAACCAAGCAACTTTAGGAAAAAGACATACAGACAGACGGACGGACGGACAGACGGACAGGCAGGCAGACAGACAGACATACATACATACATACAGATATACACACACAACGCACGTACGTACACACATACATACATGCAGGCATAACCGCACACACACACACACACGGCCTTGCATCCATCCACGCATGCATGCTTGCATGCGTGCACACATACACACATGCATACATACATATATACATCCTGCTTACCTACCTACGTCCGTCCGTCCGTGCATACATACAATACAGACAGACAGACAGACAGACAGACAGACATACAGACATACAGATATACACACACAACACATGTACATACATGCGTACGTACGTTCAATGCATACATGATTGTTTCTTGCACAACTTTGTGATGTCCATGAGCCAGACTTCCTGAGCAGATAGCCTAGATGATGTGGGTGAGGATACCTCAAGTTGAATATTTTCGCATGATTGTCATGGACTACTACTTCTGTTGTTCCTGCGAGTGAATCAACATGGTATCAATGGCTCCTAGATCTTTTTGAAGATAATATGTATAGATTACAATGATGCAATCTGTCCCACCCGTGCCGCCCTGGGAATGACATGAAAGCATGGCCATGGCCGAGCTGCAGCGCGGTTGAACTTTGATTCTTGATGGTTTGATGGGACAATTGCACGTTTTTGCAAAACGCATTCTTCTTGTATATGGTATATGTGCGCTGGTGTTCGCACAAAGGCCGACGGGAGCAAAACCAAGACAACTATTGGCAAATTTGGCAGCAAGTTCTTCTACAGGACCAGTGTAGGAATCTTCCAATGTTTGTAGTTTCCTTCCAGACTTTGAACTTTAAGCGTTGTCACAGACGTCGGGCGAGAAGGCTTTGTTGTCAGCTCTTTGAGCCATCCCATAGACACGCTGAAGTGCCGTTGGCAGGTAGCCGGAGCCTCAGAACATGCGAACACAACTATTGCACTTGGACAGAGACCAATTTGAAGGGCATGCGGCCAAGGCCGGCAAAGCTTCCCAAACACGGTGCCTTACCAGCAGCCAGCAATGCTTCTGCACCAAGTGCTTTTCCTGGTTGTTCAGATAATGATTAGTGAGGATGCAACAGACACCGCTACTAGAACTGATTCACAGGATCATTGATGGGTTCGTTTCTCACCAAAAACAAAACATTCATTCGGCGCCTGAGGCATGTAAATGTATTTGGTTTTGCTCGCTTAGTCCTATTGCAGGACCGAACGACGTGCTTAGAAGTGCAACTGCCTCACAACTCTTTTTTTTGTGGAGTTCAGTACTGTATTGTTGCAGGAAGGTATCTTCACAGGCCTTTGGAGGTGCAGTGTAATTTTCAAGGCATTGCAAAACAGCACCAGACTCTTTGCGGGCAGAATCCGGCGATCGAACGATGTCTTTCTGGGATAGGCCAGGGCTATTACCCAATGTGGTTTCCATGGCATGCTGCATTGGGCTGAGGCAAGAGCTCATTGCTTTGTCTTGCTGTGATATCGTATTCATTTGTGTTTGATTCGCCAGTTCCGGGAAATCGGTTCCAGTTGAACCATTTGAAGAATTTTTGAACCCTCCAAAACAGTTCCGGTGGAATAGGTTTCTCGCGCGACGGAAGAGCGCACAGAAGCTTTGTGAATGGCAGGAATGGCCTGTATGCTTCCTTCCGAGATGGTTTTTGCCCATCTGCCCAGTACAATGCACAATGTGTCGAGAAAAGCTGTTTCATTAATCCTTCATCGTTGCATATGTCAGGTCGATTGAGAAGATCAGCGACAGGCAATGCTGACAAGGACTGTCACACCACAACTAGAATTGTCGACTGTTTCACTGCTACCTGTGTCGTTCTCCTTGGGTGTGCGTGCAATTTCCATGTATTTTTATTGTGGCCAGCACATCTGATGAGTAGACTCTGACAGGCCGGAGCAGGAGGCATGTTCGTCGCAGGGCTGTTCTCAGGGGCGTTGGGATCTCACATACCAAAAGTGAGACACCGTAGAACCTAGAGTCAAAGAACGTTCAAATGTGTTGGCTTTTGGTTCAATCTGAGCTTTAGGTAGCCTTTGTTCCCCACCCGACAGGATTGGGCTAGACTATGCTAGACTTTAGAGCAAATAGACCACCCTACCGTGGCCGCTGCTGCAGGGCACTACCCAATGCCTGACCAAACGCAACAAGAGACAGCAATCAAAGACGCAGTCAAGAAGCGCACACACTCAAGATAAGAGTATGTACAAAAGTTGCCCAATGCCTAGCAGAAGCCGAAGTGAAGTTTCAACGGTGCCAAAACTAAAGTTCGAGTGATCCAATCCAAAGGTTCGCGCATCCAAGGCTCAATGTGTGACTGCGGAAAGCAAACCGATGGGACCACGAGGAAATTGAGCTGTAGCATCCAAGCAGCTTCGTTGGAATGAACCTCACGAGCCGCGAGCCCTCTCCCTTTGCTGAAAAAGCAGGACAAAAAAGCCAAACAGGCCCCTTTGACTCCAACACCGACACACACTCTGACATTGGCTTGCAGTTAACTCAATTCCCAGGAAAAATGGCGATGGAACCGAAAGGTGAAAGAGTCGGAGCACTTGAAGGTGCTTTAACAAAGGAGTTGTTCACTTGACTGCGGAAGCTAGTTACTGCATTAGCCCTTTACTGCAAGAACGGTAAGGTGCAAGGGTCCGAAGAACAGAACTGCTTAACAAACGCACTAGCACTTTACGAAAGCTAAGGAAACCTGTTTTGGGGGATATCGTGCGAACAACCACCATGGAAACGACAAAAGGAAAAGTGGAGTCATAGCGTGTGCAAAAGTTTTCATCCGCGCAGGTACAGAAGTTTGCGTGCAAACTTCCATCCAGTCGATTTCCCTAGCTTCGTTGGCGTGACTAGGAAATCGACCGTCACGCCCCCTGCGACTTAAAAGTTGAGAAAAACAGAAACTCTTAGTTACAGAGGTGGACACACACACCCACACGCACACGCGCACGCACACGCGCGCACGCACACGCGCACGCACGCACACGCGCGCGCGCGCACGCACTCGCACACACACACACACGCACTCAAGATATTGCTTACTGACTTGATTGCAGTTTGCCACCCGCCAACCTAAGTGAAAACCTAAGGGACCAGGTCAGGATATGTTAAGGCGGTCTGATCATCCTCAAGTCTGAGAACCTAGGTACCCAAATTCGTGTAAGAAGTCTGAGGGTCCTGGAGGTCCAACAAAAAGAAGAAAGGTGAGGCCCAAATCTCAACATGCAAAGTCGACGATCCCGAAACGACGAGGTGACGACGTCCGCGCACATCTGCCGAATGCGTTAGCCCTTTATGGAAGATGAGAGGGACAGCCTCCAGGGACAGCTTGTAAACACCACAACTCAGCAGGTACATGAAAGTGGCATCCCGCTTTCATATCCTCAGGTACATTGCCAGCTTCGTTGACGAGGCGACAATGTACCCTGCCTTGTCCCTGCTAAAAAGAACTTCAAGTAAACACCGCAACTCAGCAGCAGGTACGTGAAAGTGGCGTCCCACTTTCATATCCGCAGGTACATTGCCAGCTTCGTTGCCCAGGCGACAATGTACCCTGCCTGGCCCCCTGCCAGAAAGAAATTTAAAGGAATCCCTATGATTCCAAGGGCTTCACACACACGCCCCCCGATTAGGGAGGCAAAATTAGTCTAGTGTGCACGTGCGCGCGCAGCAGGGGCAACAGGATGAAGACATGAGAAGGAGGACGAGACGGCAAAAGTGTACGGTGAACCCTACCTCATTGTCAGAACCTGAGCGAGCTGAAACCTGGGTTGAAGGTAGGTTGCGCGCGTGCGCGCTAAGGGCCGGGCCGTTGTGCGCGCAAGAGAAAGAAAGCAATGAGATGACAAGACATGAAACAGGGAAAGACATGAAACGAAACGAGGAAAGAAAGTCTGTGTGAAGGGGGAAGAATGAAAAGGGAACCAAATGGAGGGGTCGGGAACCAGCCCAAACCTCATTAAAGAACCTAGCAAACTAAGCCTGGTTTAAATGTGTGTCCTGTATGTGCACTCTAAGGCAGCCGGAGGTCGCAATGGACCTTGAAAAGGCTTTGACTCACTCACTCACCCACCAACCCACCAACCCACCCACCCACCCACTCACTCACTCACTCACGCACGCACTCACTCACTCACTCACACTCACCCTCCCACGCTCACTCTCTCACATTCACTCTCTCGCACTCACTCTCTCACACTCACTCTCTCACACTCACTCTCTCACACTCATTCTCTCACACTCACTCTCTCACACCCACTCTCACTCTCTCACTCTCACTCTCTTACTCTCACTCTCACTCTCTCACTCTCACCCTCACTCTCACTCACTCTCTCACACTCACTCTCACACTCACCCTCTCACACTCACACTCACACTCTCGCTCTCACTCTCACTCAAACTCGCCACCGCCGCCGCCATCACCACGATCTCCACCTTCATCACCACCATCGCCTCTCAGAACCCTAGATCTCTAGACTTCCTGCTGCTACACCTCTAGGCCTCACATGCACTTTTTGGGGGTCTCTTGCAGGGCTAAGCATTTTAAAAGGCTTACGCAGCGCAGAGACTGAGACCGTTGCAGTTATCAAAGGAAGACTCAGAAACGTGGCGTCTGTTTTTTTGGTCGCGCCAGTCGTGCCAAGTTACACCGCCACAAACCAACCAACTGTGCCATGGTTATGAACCGAACCGGTCAGACTGCTGTTGTTACTAGTTTGCGTTGCGGGGGAGGTGCTGTGCCCTGCCCTGCGCCCCCTCCCGCCTTTACCTTTTAAGCCTAGAAATAGGTTCGGGTATGGCTATCCAGATCTCACTCAAGCGTCCACAACATGTCATGAAGCATGCGCAGGCTTTGAAAAGGACATTTAGAAGGACAATTTTACTAAAGGACATTTGAAAGGGGATTTAAAGGGAAATTGCGCAGGATTTTTTTATAGGAAATGTAAAGGGGGTTCAGGAGCACATGTAAACAATGAATAGGACAGTTTAAGATTGTAGGGCCGGATAACTCCTCATGTTTTTCTATAACGATCACTAGATTAAAAACCTTTAAATTTTGACCATTGACGTGGAAACGGAAAGAAATCGCAGACAGAAATTGTCGATAGAACACATGTATGTGGGGTTGACAGTGCGCGAGTGTGGTTGAGGTTCCCTTTTGTACGTGCCATTTTGGCTCAAGTGAGTCGGACCACAGGTGGGTCATGAGCACCGAGGTTGTGGTATACACTGGGCCGGAGGACGCGCCAGGGATCAAATCCCGGAAAGGGTCCGACGGCGCCTTCCCACACAAGTGGAGGGGTGTCGAAATCTGCGCCTCTACAATGGCGACAAGTGCGGCTCCAAGCAGGCCCAAGGAAAGTGCAAGTCCAAACGCTCCCACCAGTGCAACAAGCGCTTGGGACCACACCAGGCGATTGCTTGCCCTTGCTGGAGGAAAGAAGCCTCTGGGGCCCAGGGTGATACGCGCGCTCGCTTACATCACGGGCATCCCGAATCCCACAAAGGCGAAGAAGCCCATTTTCACGATTCCAACATCTTCACACATCGGTCCTACAAGGTGGCCTTGAAGCTGCATCAAAAGACGGGGATTGGAGAACCCGGATCACCCTCCAGACAAACCCTGTCTGTGGCACATGCCCCGGATTAGGGAGCTCCCATCATGGCCAGCAGTCGACGTCACGAGGCAGTGCATCACCGGGCTGGACACTACCAAGCCTTCTACCCAGGGATGGACCTGTCAGCCTTGAAAAAAGGACAAAAGATGCAACCGCGAGAAGAAATCGTGGACTCGAGAAGACGGCTCCACCTTCCAAGCTGCGCGCAATACAACTGTGCAACGGTGCGAGAAAGTGGAAGGCAAGATGCGGAGAGTACGCAGCCCTGCTGAGCAAGATCCTGGCCGTCGCCATCCACAAGAACGTGGATGACAAGTGGAAGAAGGAGGAGCTCTCAACAGAGCACCTCTATCACCTCGCAATACAGCGGATGCCGCGCATGCTGGAGCCTGGTGCGATGGCAGCCCAAACTCACGGGCATTGGTCGTGACATACTCACCGCTCGAGTGGCAAAACCCTTCCCGGCAGAGGTCGTAGACCGGCTGGCAGTCGCGGAAGCCCTGGGCAGGCGCGGGCACACGTGCCACTGAACGCAGGCATCATCGAAGCATGGCAGGCAGCGGCCAAAGACCCAGGCACCAAACACCTCTCCCATTGGCTGGACCACAGCGCGTGTGGGGTACAGTGAGGCATACCCTCGTCGAAAATCTTCCAGTAAGTACCAAGGCCGAGGCTGGCAACACTTCCCAACAAACAGGAATTGCGTCGAGCTGTCGAAGGTTGGCAGAACTACAAGTCAGCCGACGAGGAGGCAGACGACTTGAACACATGGGTGGAGGACCACATCAACCGTGGGTTCTGCCATGTGGTGGATGGAGGAGGCCACAAAGGAGCTGGGACAGACCCCAGTTCTGACGTGATCCCAAGGTGTCAAGAAGAGCCGAATGATATGGGACCTGAGGGAGTCCAAAGCCAACCAACCATCAAGGTGAACGCATCATCCTCCCTCGATTGCTCGACGTGGCCCTGCAAGCGATTCGAGTTTATCGGGAAGGACGCGCGCCCTGGTTGGCAGCAGTGGACATCAAGGATGCCTTCATGAACATCCCGTCAAAAGATTCGCAGTGGCGGCCCGACCCAAGCCAAACTCGGCAGGAGCGATGGAGATCATTATCTTCGACGCCTCGTGTTTGGGGCCGGGAGTCTGAGTTCGCCCACTACATGGGGCCGTTACGCCGCGTGGCTGGGTCGCTCGTGTGCGGCAATCGTCCCGGACGCCAGCGCCCAGATCTATGTCGACGGCCTCACTCTCGTTTGTGGCAGGGCTGGTAACATGCCTAAGCCCGTTCCTTCACACATTGTGGGCAACCCTATA